CTGTCTATATAATAAAATAAATATTATTTGCCATCAAAACTATGTTAAATTATAATGTAATTGATAAAGTAAAAGATAGAATATCATTAAATATTATCTTTAATTTTAAATGTGATCGAAAGTACATTTATTAAATAATAAATTAGCTGGTATTATAAATAATAAAAAATTGGTATTTATGAACTGATGTAATATTAAATTTTATGTCGAATGCTGCGTTTAGTTGACAAATATATCATTTAGTACATACCATTGACAATTTGTTTTCAAAAATAAATTAAATTTTTAGGAAAGTTAATTTTTGTTTATAAATATTTTACATCAAATAGGATTAATCAAAGAATTTCATCAAACATGTGAATACGATTATTAAACAAAATGCGTCAAATGTAATTCGTTTAAAAAAAATAATTGTGGATGGATTAAGATCTCTAATAGGCAGTTCTAATTTATCTGAGATGTACAAATTTAAAGTCGTATATGTTTATTTAAGGACTCTGTTATAAAGGTAAGTCAAGAATCTTTTTCTTTTCGTAGTTAACAAGTCTTCATAATACAAAATAAATAAATTAATAATATTCCATATTAAAGTATTTGATCGTTATTTACCTGTTTGTTGCCGATTGATTATTATGAATTGACTGTGTTTAGAATTATAACATATTGCAAGAAAGTGATTTTGTTCCCGGGCTAGACAAAATTTGGGTAAAATTCGTTTTAAATTTATATACACTTGATTTATTAATGGCACCGTCCAGTTTTTGAAGGTAGTTTCTATAACAATTCTCGTCCATTCGGTATCAAAGATTTCCGTTACATTGACAATAGGGTATTGCTTTTTTTGTATCCAAGGATTCATCAAGTCTTTTACGCTAATTTTCTCCAAATCCATAGTTTGTGAATCATAGACAGATTGCATTACAGCCAAAAAATCATCCAGACTACCCGTCCTTACAAAAATGTATAAAAATGATGTATAAAAATTTCTATTCGCGATGTATATACTATGATAAAGACAATATCAGCAGACAAACATTTTCTCGATATACAGCATAAACACAAATCATCTACACAAATTTTATAATTATCGAAAAACACACATAATTTGCATTATTCGCTCAGTTTAGTTCTTGCGAGGTAGATGCTCGTGATTTTATTTGCTCAAAATTGCAATATAAGTTGTAAAGTTTCAATATCGATTGCACCGATTTTAATTGGGATAATTGAATGACAGATAAATAAATTTTATAATAAAAATGTTTTCAATTTTTATCACTATCTTCTACAAAAATAACATGTAATGATATATTCGAAAAATAATTACATTAAATTTTATTGTTAATTAGTCTTTGATTCTGAATAGCAAATTTTTTGACATACAATATCTTTTTTTTTATGTTAACGCACATTTAAATTTTTTGTTATTTCGAAAAGTAAGAAAGTATGTGGGAAAGTAATTTTATATGTAGTAACATAGAGTCTTCTTATAAAGTCCAACAATAGCAAAAAATATAGTAAATTATTATTTGCATATAACCTTACATCATGTAATAAAAAAATGAAAATAAAAAATTATTTATTTGACAAAAGGAAAAGAGAGAAGAAATACAAGACAAATGAAATATACTTACTCTCTTTTCATATACATATTAATCCCTTTCTGAAAAATTTCATTACCCACCGTATTATGCAGCATACGTAATATAGAAGGTGCTATAACAAATGAGCGTTATAAGATCAAACATACAAGAAATTATACCTACAGTAAATTTATCAAAGTTCTGAGAAATATTGAGACTACAATTAATTAATTAAGAATTTCGAATTTATTTTTAGAAATATATGTATTTGTTTTAGAATATGTTTTTACTTATTTTAATAAATAAGAAAAAAGTAAATTGAAGTAAAATCTTATTTTTGGTATGGTTCTTGAATAATTTGACATGTGTTAATTGTTTGAACATTATTCAATACTGTATACCTTTCATGTAATAAGTGAAAGAGAAGAGAGAATTAATTTCAGAGATACTGTTAATTTCTGAATCAAGAGGTTTCATAATTTGTGAATCGTCTAAACGGAGAGATTCTTGTTGAGTCTGGACTACGAACAAATCCAACATCCGAGAATATGGTATAGCCTAGATATTAGAAATTTAGTCACAAAATAAGTAATAATTTAATTATCAGGTTATTATCATTAAACTAATAACCATTACTAATCTAATTAAGTTATTAAAAATTTTATAAACGATTTACATGAATGCTACAAAATTCCTAATATTTAATTTAAATTCATCATCATTGAAAATGATCGAAGAATGTTCCTTCTTTTCTCGTATAATTCCAAATAGAACTTTTGTTCAGTTTTCTTTCAAAGTATCACAGACATGAGGAAATACCTGATTGATTATATACACGCCGAACAACGTAGCAATACCCTCGTTCAACCACATGTAAGACCACCATGATGGACTAACCGCAGTACCAAACAATTGGCCTACAATTTTACGTCCTATTATACGTGATAACTCTATTTTGCGTGCAATGGGATCTATCTCTTTATTGTAAATAATATCTTCTTCTCTGAAAACAACATACGACAATATCGTTACATTCATGTCACAAATTCATTCACAATACATCTTTTATTAATCATCTTCTATTAATAACACTGTCTATTATAAATTCTAATAATATTTATAAAGTGTTTCTATTCTACAATTGTTTTATTATAAAAAGATAGAAATTAATTTCTTTAAATACATATACTACCTGTAAAGTATGAACTGCAATTTGTCCACGCTACCATCTTTCAAACCTGCGATCGCGTATTGATTTTCTAATGAAGAGCTTTTTGGTTGTCCCCATATAAATTCAACAGTACTTGTGACATTTTCCATTAATCCAAAAATTTCATCCCACTGCACGCTCATCCATTCTCTTTTCCATGATTTTAGAATAATTTTATTTTTTTCTTGTTTGGGAGAAATATGAATATAATCATTCTTATCCAGTAGCAAAATTGCTATACGGTACGTAGGTATTTCAGGAGTTGTAGCAAAGCGTGTCGTTGTTTGTTCTGATGTATAAAGTATAAGAGGAGAATGTGTATTTGGAAAAACATCGAAATGTTTAGGGTATTTTATAGAAATGGTAAATTTAGATTTTAGTCTCGGTTCGTCCCAACATGGAAAGAGACGTCGCATTCCTGTCACTGAATTATTTGTTGCGATAAGCCATCTAACACATTTAATTAATTTTATTATACTATTATAGAATGATTATAATATTATAGTACTATAAAATGAGATAATTTCTTATTTTTTATAGCATTGGAAATTAATATAAGAACTGAGATAAGAGCAAATATATTTTAATAACATTTTTTATATTTTATTGGTATATAAGATAAGCCCTTTTCTTCTATTGCTTTTTTACAGTTCATATACTTATTTTATTATGCACATACATCTGTAGATCACGAATAAACATTTAGAGATTCGAATTAAAAATTTTGTTGTATACGCGGACAATATTTATAAAGAACTTATTTAGTAAAACATCTTTAAGAAAGGAATAATATCATTTTATACATCGTTATTTTCATAACTTTTCACAGAATGTTTACATTCGCTAATTACATATTTTGTATCAAAGTTTCTTCCAAAACCCTATAAATATTATAACATTACTTTTAGACATATTTAACGAACTTTCATACAACGTAAGTCATTGTGAATCATTAATTTCCAATAGTCAATCAACTTTTTTTAACTTTTGATATATAACAATTGTAACGTGATAAGTATGTTTGCACAAATTTGCTTTAAATATTACGCGTGAGTATTAATTTTTAGTAATTAAGGGACATAAATAAGATAATAGAATAATAGAAATTTTCTTTATTATTACATAATATTTTTAATATAATATGTATATTTTTTTACTCACTTTTTATGTCCTGTCGCATTTATATATGGCATCTTGATAAATCCTCCGACATCATTATCAATGACACCTTTATAAGTCATGATCAAATTATATTCATCAGGATGTAGGACAACAAGGAAATCCAAGACGACAATTTGCAGTTTGTGTATATAGGTAATATTACGTGTTCCATACACATTTATTTCTCCATCAATAATATCAGTTAACATGCAACTAGTTATTTCTAAATTTGCTGAATGCAGATTTATATATTGTGTAGGTTTATAAATCATAATGGTAATATTACTTATTCCAGAGAAGATATCCTCTTCTGTATTTAATCTTAAATTAATTTTGTATTCTTTTGGTATTATAAAATCAGGCAAACGCAAGTTGACAGGTGTAACATGTACTGTTGTAGACACTACGTAAGCGTGTGTATCGTTGGATGTGACTTTTTTATTGATTTCTGTTATTTCTGATCTCCTAGTTCTCGTTGTTTTTGATCTGTCTGTTCGCTTGTTACTTATTCTGGGTTTGTCAAACACATTTTCTTTATGTTGATAAAGAGCCGTAACGTAATTTAATATTAAACTTCCGTACAGTAATAATTTTATTAATTCGACAATATTCATCTAAACGAATAACAAATTTTTCATTTGCAGTAATGTATGTTTTATAACAAATAGAAATATGAAGTAAAATTATATTGAAATTATATTAAATTATATCGAAATTTGACTTTTGCAAAAATTATAAAAGTATAGTTATAAACTTTCTTATTGATAAGTTTATGATCATAACACGAAAGTACAAAAATAATTGAAAAAGCCTGTCCTCGAAAGCAGGCTCTTAAGTTCTAAAAATCATATATTTGTATAAGTTAAATTCAAGTAATTAAATTATCAATCACGTGTCATTATTTTTAGCGGAATTGCAACGTACTGATTCTCAAATTCAGTATGCAAATTATTGTTATCGGATAAAAGTCCCTTTCATTATCTACTACATCGAGAAAGAAATAGAATCGTTTACTTGTTATGAGAACATATAATTTCGTTAGTATATTAAATATTACATCACCACATCTATAATGAAGTGAAATAATACTTCTTACCTTAAGAAAGACATTTAACGTTAATGATAATTTGAAAAGAAGAATTACATGTAAACTAAACTTGTGTTTTGAAATATTTCTACATATTTAAAAAAATTATATTTATATAACACAACATACATAGATATTGTTCTATTGATTCAATTTATGTATTGAAATTGTGTAGGCTAATAGATATTTAAAATAGTCTATAATAATTTGCTCAAATTATATTTACCGTTATAAGTGATAGAAAATGATGTATTCTCTGAATCACGATCTCTCTGCTTCGACAGTTCGTTACAAAGTAATGACCGCCAACAAATCGATGCGTATAAAAGACATCATAATAAGTAGTGGGAGGTATAAATATAACATATTATTTAAAACTAAACTCAGATCATAATTATTTTTTTGCAGTTATGTATTTAAATATGTATTAAAATTGATTTTAATAATACAAATTAAGCAAACAATAAAAAATGAATATTGAAATATTTCTCTTAAAATTTATTAACATAAAAATAAAGAAAAATGCAATTGAATGTAGAAACTTTCGAAATGTCTTCTTACACAAGTATGTTATTAATAAATTAATTGTAACTATTAATGTTTATTATGAATTGATTAAAAGTACGCATTAAATAAACATTGTGTTTATTAGATGTATTTCCCTATTAAAAATATAATGGATGTTTCATATGCTTTATATTTAATTGCATGTCAATTATAATATTGTTTATTGGTAACAAAATGCTTCTATATCTATGTATGTATATATATATATATATATATATATATATATGTATATATA